ACTTTCTTTTTTTGTTTTGCTTTATTGTTTTCATATGTGTATTTCTAAAAGAGGATATATTTTTATGTGTATTCCATTTATTTACTTTTTTCATGTTTCACCTGTGCTTTTAATTAATTAATTTATTAATTTATTTATAAATTCTGTGGTGTTTCCTTCTTCACATTGTCATTGTTGATCATTTTTTCTTTATTTATTGTTTTAATTTCTCTCGTTTACTTGTTGTTGTTTGTGTATTTTATTGTCCGGGCTGCTCTCTCTTCTGCATGAAGTGTTTTAGGAATAAACTTCGATCGACTACATAATAAAACACGTTAGAGCAGAATGTAACTTTAAAAACTGTTATTCAACTTTAAGACAAATTCATGAGATTTTCTGAACTTCTGGATTAAAATTATATTTTTAGTGTTTAGAAACGCTCATATTGTTTGCAGTGGATTTTATACTTTAGGTTTGATTTATGGAATGATGTTCAAACTGGAATAATTATTTGTGTTTTATTGTTCGGCGATTAGGGAAGGAGCAGGTTATTTAAGATCGTTTTCATTTTGGTTGAACTTTGCTCGAGTTTTGTCGATCGACTGATATTTGCAGAAGTAAAGGAGTGAAACATAAATGAATGAGAATAACTGATGAACAACGCAACAGATAGATTTGTGTTCTGTTTGTGCTAGCTGAAGATAAGTCTTTTGTTTGTTTGTTTGCTGCCAGTTCAAGTAAACAAATGACATCACCTCTTTATTTACGGAGCTGCTTTTGTAACCATCTAACGAGCAGAAAGTTAAGTTGATTATGTGGAGATTTCCCAGCATTCTTTCCCCTTTAAGCTGCTTTGACCCTTCTTTATTGTTATACTATACTTAAACTGCAACTAAATAAAGAAGCAACCTAAAAATAAAAATGTGCTACAATAGACTTTATCTTTATTAGTGATTTTTGAACGAATGCCACATGATGCATCAAAGATATATCCTCAATAAAGGCTGGGATCAAAATGCAAAATTGGTTGTTTTCCTTCACAAAAAGTGTCAGGAGCCTGAAAGTTAAAATTTAGGCAGCAGAATACAAAAGTTCTGTGAAAAAGTTACAAACAGTATCTTACCTGTTCCAGATAGCTCTTTAAATAAAAACAGTTTGCTTTCATCCTAAAACTACTCAGTCTCAAAACTTTCAGTGTGGCTCCTGCAAACACAACTTTAATGTCGATTTCTGTGAATATTTATAGCAGCAGCAGGTGGCTGTAGTACTTCCTGTGTAATCTGGGGAACATCCTGCAGAAATATCATAATCTTGCTGAAATGTCAGTGTAATATGAAATTAGCAGCAATTAAATAATGTTTTTTAAGACAACATTTGAGAAGTCACTATAGAAAAATGTCAAGATTAAAGTTTGTTAACATGGTCTTGAACCTTCCAAATGAAACACCATATATGCCCCTTTTAGTGATCTGTAAGAACTTAAACGCCACTTGAACAATCAGTACATTTGGTAACACAATATATAAAACAGTATGATTTCCTCTTGCACATGTACAAACAGTAGCATAATTCAAAAGCCTGCAGTAGCACATTTTTACCACTTGGGGGCAGAACAACATTTAAAACTTTTAATCTATTGTTTCCAGTGGTGACCACTAGATGGCGCTAAAATGCTAAATAACTTTCCAATGGTTGTTAAAAACGGAAAGAAACTTTATTACCGTAGAGTTCAGTTCAGTTAATTTATGTAACGCCAAATTACAACAGAAGTCATCTCAGGACACTGAACAGAAGCACCCACATACATATAAAGTCAATTAATAACATTATTTATCTAAGGAGCCAACAGATTGCTTCGAGTTTTCACTTTAAGCAACCCCTGAAATAATTATTTATTTTAATTAATCCTACAAGCAAAGTTATATTCTACCATGTTGTTCACAACATTTCTTTTAGACTTTGTAAATATATTTCTTTTCACGTTCGGTGATTTATTTTGCACTTTCATCGCATGCTTTAGTATTTCTTGTTTTATTTGCAAGTCGAAGCGGTTCTTCTCATCCTGAAACTTTCATTGCATTGTTGATCTTGTGTTAACCTGCATATCACAAATAACCAATAAACTAAACTAAACTACTGGCCAGCAAAGCTTAAGGCTTTGTACCCAAAGTGAAAAAGTACTAGAAATACAATTTGTTTAGATGACTGGGTCCAGTTTTTATGTGAATACATAAAGAGGCCTAACAATCCAGCATCATGAACAGGATTACCATAGTGGACAGCAACACTTCACTCTTAAAATTAAGGCAACAGACGGTGGAATGGTTGCACATTATAGATCATTTTTAAACATCTATGCATTATTTTACAGTTAAAGGTTGTATGAGATTACTTTTATAGCCAAACATGAACATTAAAAATGTTCAGCCCAGTCTGGAGCCTCATTTTCTGAACACAAAGTTGAACAAAATTCTTGAACAATTAGTTTGTGGAAGAAAATGCTTTGACTTCTTGCATTTGTAAGCTGAGGTTCAAAACATCAAAGTTTAAAAAGGAGCAAAGGGTTTAAAGTTTAAAGCTGATCAAATTGTTTTAAACGAATGTTTGAACGAGACTCTCGTGGTGTTTACTCTGCTTTCCGGATCCTTTAACAGACAAATCTTGCGGTGAGACTTTGCTTCTGAGTCGTCTCTGATTTGCTTATTACTTGTCTCCAATTATCAGTAATCAGTGGGCGCGTGGTTATTGTGTTTTTATTGCTGCATCCGTCAAATGAGTTGTTTGTGACACACTCCTGACCTACAACAGTTCCTCCCAGCATGACACTCCCAGGGTGACCTGAATCTGTCTGATATGACAGATGGGATACTGGTGTATCCAAGATAAAATAATTCAAAGCTGCTTCTTGCTGCTGGTGTCCAGGAGGTGGCAGAGGGGGGGGGACCTTTAATGTGATCCATAAAACTGACTGTGGCAGAACGCCACCTGGGACCAGAATATCACTGCTGAGAACAGCCAGTACTTTCTCTCAGGCTGTGATGGGAATATAAACTGAACAGGGAGCTACTTTCTTTCTCTTTTCTCCTCTCTGGACATTGTGCACCCTCAGACACATGACAATTTTTCTTTTTTTTGTTGTTGAGAAAATTGTTAAATCAGGATATTTGAGCTAAACCTGCATAAATCAATCAACCCAACCTGCAGCCCGGCTGTCATTGATCACCATCGGCTTCCTCCTCTAAAAACGTCACTCTGCTCTTTTGTCCATCCCCTCACATCGATGGAAATATGACAATGACTTGTCGCCCCACTCAAATATCAGGTGTTCATGTTAGCACAGGAAAAAAAATCCCATTAATAGCTCTCAGACGCAGCATGATTGGCTGATTGCAGTTGCTAGGCAACAGACCTACGATGTGCCTCTGCATCGCCGTAAAGAGGGAAATGAAGGTGCGGACGCAGGAATGCTATGCATCATTTAATAGATGTGATTCTATATCGTGACCATGAACATTTACAAAATGTACACACAGCTGATGGTTCGTTAGCGATACATTTATTTCAACACTTCAAATGAAAAAGTTCATTCGGAGCACTTGATTGAAATTGTTTTTTTATACATATATATATTTATATATTTGCAGTGTATAGAGTCATTTATCATAATTCAATTTACACATCCAAGAATCTGCAAACTAGCATCCAGCTATAATGATTATATACAAAATATACAACAGAACATGTTCAGAGGCATTCGAGCCTGGTCAAAAGTGACCCATATTTCTCCCTGAATACATGTATTCTTTAAAAATATCAAACATATCTCAATCACGGATGGGTGACTTTTTAAAAATGTTTTCCACGCATGTTGTGAAAATAGCTTATTTCTTCTTTTTTTTAAACAGGGCAAACACAAACAGCTCTAACTGTATGTTAGACAAAGCTATTGCTAAAATGTTTTTATATAAAATTTTTTACATATGGAAAGTGTGTTTTTACTCTTGTAACAAGAATTTTCACTCTTGGTTACGTGTTTTTTTTTTTGTTTGTTTAATCTGTGCTTTCTTGTTAGCTTAACGAGGCGGGACGAAGATTCTGCTTTTTGGTCTTCGGAATAAAAACTTTTGACAAACGTCAGGAGGAAGAAGAGGTGGTTTGACACTGACTCGAAAGAAAAACAAAAACTTTTTCTTCAGTCCAGGTGGAAGCAAACGGATGAGCTCCACCTCCTGCTGCACCTTATTCTCTGGTGGGTTTGTGGCTGTTTCTTCTCACACTTCCCCCCAGCGTGAGCTGTCCATGAGGCAGAGAGGTCAGTGCGCTGAACGTAAAGTCAAGCTCGCGTTAGGAGCCAACAGGACTCCGATAGCGAGTCCACGTGAAGCGGCGCGGACCCCGTCACGCTCAGGGGTCGATGCGGAAAGCCAGCAGCTTGTCGGAGTGCTGGTTGTTCAGCGTGCGCAGGTCCGGCAGGCGCAGCAGCAGCTTGGGGAAGAGCGTGCTGTCGTCCGGCCGGCGGCTGGTGATGAGCGAGCGCAGAGCTTTTATTAGGTTCTCCTGCAGGTTCTCCACGGCTCCCACCTCCACCACACCTGAGCGGTCTGCGGGGTTACACAAAAGAACAGAAGTGAAGGTTAGGCATGAGGACGGACACGTTGCTGCGTACGACAGTGTTGTAGTCAAGACCACCTAACCCAAGACCAAGTCAAGACTTTTAGGGTCCGAGACCTTAAGTTTGCTTTTGAATGAATGTAAGCTACATAAAGACATCAGACATTCAGTGGTTGTTGCACAATAATTTTCATGTCATGTGACCCACTGACACAAAACTTATGTTAAGCTACTCTACTAGACCTGACAGACGAAGCACCCTCATGTATTTCTCATTTTAAAGCATTTTCTAATTTTACATAATGTATTTGTTCAAAAATCATGATTTTCGCTCAATTACTAGAAAATGCTTTAAAATGAGGAATAAATGATGGTTTACTGTGTGTCAGGTCTATTGGAGTAGTTTAACATTAGTTTTGTGTCAGTGGGTCAAACGATGTAAAATATATAAATTTTTGTTTCTGAAGAGTTTTTGGTTCGGTAATTTGTTGACGGTCCCTAAGCGAACCAATCAGACTGCCTGCTTCGGATCGAACGAGAGGAACGCATCGCTGAAGCCACGGAGCTCGAATGTCCAACGTCCAACTTCACCGCGGTAGAGTTGAGGCTCCAGCAGAGCACGAACAGTTTAGAAACAAATTGAAATGAGAAAAAAAATCTATTTATTAACTGATTATCGTGTTTTAGACTGATTATTGCTAGAGAATCTATTCTGGCCCAAAGTGCAGCCGTGACTGGTTCTGAATGAGGCTTTACAGCAGACAGCCGCTCTCTTCAGGTACTGCGTAGTGGACAAATAAACTGGACAATATTCTGGCAATTTAGTGGCATTTCCACAGTTGTGGTCTTGAAATAAAATCCTGAATCCTCAATGTCCGAGACAAGACCGAGACCAAATGCGGTCGAGTCCGAGACCATCAAAAAGTCGGTCTTGAGTACTACAACACAGGCGTATGAAGCGCTCGTGTTCGTGTCTTACCTGCAGACACCAACACAACAGCCATAAAAAGAGCCATCTCGTCCTGCTCCAGGCCCAACGAGCCCAGCTTCTCGCTGAAGTCGAACATGGAGTCCAGCAGGGAGCCCATACCGAGCGCCCTCAGCGACGGCAGCGAGTACGTCTGTCCGTTGAGGAAGGTTACCGTCCTCTCCTTGGGCTCGAACAGCGAGCAGAACCTCACCATGAGAACCTGTGAGCAGAACATGAACCGGTCAGCACCAGAAACCTGAGCCTGCCTCACTAACGACGACGTGCTCCACTGATGTTCACCTGGAAGGTGCCGGATTTCAGCAGCATGACCTGGTCGTGCTGGCTCAGGGTTTGGAAGCCCGGAATGCTCTTGGCAAACTCCACCACCTCTTTAACAACGGGGGTGAAGCACTGGGAGAAAGACTCCCACACCTCCTGGCTGGAGCGGCTGGCTGGAGCCACAGGACACGAATTGAGAGGGCAAGCCTGCAGGAAGCAGAGACACGAGAAGAGAAGCGTTACGCTGAGTCGACACAAACACGGGACAGATCCACTGTAAAAAGACTCAAAGACTCACTAGAACTTTGGCGCCTCCACTGAGCTTCCAGGGGCAGGACGTTTGGTTCTGGAAGTCTCTGCTCGGGACGTTATTCTGAACGGCTGAAAACGTCGGCGACGAAACGTTTCCGGTGACGGGGCACTGGCTGGGTTTGGAGGAGAAGGTGAACTTGTCCGTGCTCGTGTCCGAGGAGCTGTCGTCGTTGCTGGACACAGCGGGGAAGTTCGCGGAGACGTGGTAGCTCGACGTCTGGGACACCGACGCTTCCTGCGACTCTGCGCCCGGAAAAGAAGGAGTGAGGCAGCGGCCGACGGCGGCCATCTTGAGCGGCTTCTCGTCGCTGCCGTAGGGCTGCAGGATGGCTCCGTCGCTCGCCCGGTTCTGAGGACTGCAGGGGGTGTCGGGGGGTGAGGACACCTCCATCTCCATGGACGCAGACTGACTCAGACTGTTCATGTAGTTCTGCATCTCGTCCAGAAGTCTCTGCTTCTCCCGCTTTGGAATACGCCCAAAACGCACAGCTGAGGATGAGAAGAGCCGTCAGCCTCACGGTTCACATCTCTCTGGAAGCTCTTTAACGTGAATTGTTACAACACTAACACACTTTTGCACTAAAATGAACTCTAAAACTCAACTCTGCTAATCTTAGCCCTCACCCCAGCTGTTACTCCACAGAACCATCACGTCTCCTTCATTTTCCTCCTCAACCTTTCAGTTCTGCTCCTTCACCGACAGTCCTATTTATAGTATACTCTGTGCTACCCCCTCCATGTTTTCTCCCTGTTCCCATATTTCAGATGAGCGTGAAAGTGGATCACTAGGTCACGAGCACCAAACCTGCTGTCATTAGTGAAGCGACGGCATGAGCGATTAGTGATGAAGGTCAAAGGCACGAGATGCAGACGAGAGGTGTGTGAAGGTAGAAGGTGGACAGAAAAGCACTGATGGAGAAACTAACTCGTCAGTGAACGTGAAACGCAAAGTGCCAACGGAAGGGGACATAAGAGAGCGAAGAAGAAACGATGTGAAAAACAGAAAAACGCGAGCATGATAAATACGCTGCGGCTCGATGAATTAGCAGATGATCCTTCATTTTCTCACCGTGGCTTTTTTAGGTCAACTAAAAATACGCACTCAGGAAAACATGATTTATTATCACCTAGTTTAGAAATGCCCAAGAGGCTGGAGCGTTGCAGGGGAAGAAGTGCAGAATAAGAAGATTCTCATTTATAGACGAACCACAGAGGGTGTCATGATTACCAGCATGGGATCACGATGACTGTTTGGGAAGACTGTAAATCACAGCGATCACAGGAGACGATCAACAACTGTGTGTCCTAATTTCCTAAATAAACTCGCTTTAGAATGCTAAAGCTACTCCTGCAATAAATTACTGTATTTTTCGCCCTATAAGTCACGGTTTTGTGCCAAATTTTCAAGCCCTGCGACTTACAGGCCGAAGCGACGTATTTATGGATTTTTCACATATTTATAAACCAAGATATGAGATATGACCGTTTTCATTCATTCTGACTGAAAAAAATGGAACACTACCATTTTCAGCCACTAGATGGCAGTCAAGTATAAGGCATGCTGTTGTGTCATAATAGGTAAAAGTGGCTATTAATGACACAATCGGCTTGTCATAGCCTGCCACCGTCGTCCGCCAAATCAGCTTCATTTCGCTGCGCTGCCATGGCGAAATGCAGCTAATTTGACCGTCAAAGTGCATTTATTAAGTAAAAGTTCAACTGAGACACACCTTTACTATAAAGTCGAGCAAACAAATAATTGTTTTAGGTGGTTATCTTGTTAAATTTCAAAGAAATATTTGGCAGCCAATTGATTTTTGGCACAACAACGGCCCACATTTCCAGGTTCGGCCCACATTTCCGCATTGTCAGCGGTGATGCATAATAGATGCGACGTATACGGCGAAGCGACATATTTATGTACTTTTCCACTTCACTAGACATATTTGGACTGATGTGACTTATAGGGTGGAGCGACGTGTACGGCGGAAAATACGGTACATGAGAAATGGACAAAGATGGAGCAAGAAAGGAGGATAAGGAGGAAAATACAATCCCAATTCTAAAAAAAACAGGGATGTTGCTAGGTACTAATACACCCCCATACCATAAGAGAAGCAGGCTTTTGAGCAGTGTGCTGATAACAGGCTGGGTGGTTGTACAAATCGTGTTCCACACAGCCAAACTAAAGTAAAATAGTAAATCGAACTTTAGATTCGGTTTGTGTCTCTCACCATCTCTGGACATGCCCACGGAGAGGCACTTCTTAAAGCGGCAATGCTGGCACCGGTTGCGGTTCATGCGCATGATGAGACAGTGTTCGTTCTTGACACACATTTTGTAGTGGATATTCTGCTGAATGCTGCGTCTGAAGAACCCCTGCAGACAGAAAGCAAACACAGGGGGACGATGAAGGCTTTGAAGTGGCGCTTCAGTCGCCATGCGTCTGTGTTCTCAATGGGAAATAAGCAGACACAAGACGAGATGATGTTCCCCTCTGCTCACCTTGCAGCCCTCGCAGGCGTGCACGCCGTAATGGAAACCAGATGCGACGTCGCCGCACACCTTACATAAAAGCACCATACCTCCGGTCTCTGCGAAAGAGCATCGTCAGACACTGGGATCAGTATCACAACAGTTTCAAAGAGGAGGACAGGGAGGGGGGAGTGTGAGTACTTACTGGTGAAGGTGCCGGTGAAACCACAAGGCCTTTTGGCTGCGGTGGGATGACCATAGGTCGCCGATGAAACCGTCGTAATTTGGGCGACTGGAGCACTGCTCACCTCAGGAAACTGAAAGACCATTTTTGGGGAGGCGGTTCCTCCTCCACGTTCCCTTCTCTGCTTCAGGACCCCGATCTCCTGAAAGGAGGGGCCCTCTGGGGACGAGGGCTGCGAGTGGGAGGACGGCGACTGGGTCTGGTATCCACTGGATGGGCTGCCGGGACTTGGACTGGCGCTGCCGGATGAACCGGCGTACAGGATGACACCACCTGGAGGAAGACAGAGACAAAAGCTGTTGGTCTTCATCTGGGTCGGTGTTCGCACGCAGCATGTAGGTGAGAGTGTCAGGGTTGAGCAACGTGTTTACGCAGCGACTTTACTTGGCAGACAATCAAGAAGACAAACAAACCGTGACCATTTTAGGGCAACTGTAATCTGATCCAATGAATAATTTAGATTAAAAGAAATGTTGTGGCTAGAACATCAACAACCCTGACCTGATATTTCCATAAAAACTGTTAAACGTGATCAGTCAAGGACTTTAGCACACAATCCCAGAATTTTTACAAAATGTTTAAGCTCTCAGAATCCCATTAAAGTGGGTTATCTGAACAATTTAAACTATGTAGATAAATATTTTGATCCAGTGGATGAACCAGCAGATTCCCACCCACAGCAGTTAGTCACAACACTAGCTTGGTATTTTTCTTTACAGACACAGTTAAAATATTTTAAATTGGAGTTTTAGGAAAATATTATGAGCTCATTACATTACCTGTAGTACCGTAACTACAGGCACAAATGCATTTATGAGCTAATTGTCTAACGTTAAACTACATGCCTTTAAAATGTGATCGACACATAAGAATTTATTTTACAAAAGGATGCTACTAAATGTTGACCCTAATTAGTATCGCAAGTACCTTCAAGCATTTCATTGACTGTTTAAAGGGCGTAAACATGCCACTGGGTCGTTTAGCATCACTGTTAGCACATTTAGCAGCAGAGAAAGAAAAGGTGAGAGCTGTCTGAGGAGCTGACAGAGAAGATATCCATGTTAAAAATAAAGACTACAAGACTTTCTCCAACCAGCTCTACATTCCTGGGACCACAGTTGCCAATAATATTAAAATGTATAACATTCATTGGATTGGTCAACCTCCCAGGATGTGGACGCAATAAAAGAATGCGACCCCAGGTGGATACGACCACAAATGGTAGAAGACTCATGAAAACCCTCCAAAACCATTCAAGCCGAACTCCAAGGTCGACATCTGATCAGATTGACAAGCTAATGGTTTTGTCTGTCTCAAAATGTTCATAATTGTCTGTGTGTATGGTATTTTATACCCCTGACGATTTTACGTAACATGGTTATTCTGGCAGAAATGATATATTCCAGCTGGAAATGCATGAGGCTGTGGTTATCATTTAAAGTAGATTTGACATCTTTGAGTTTGGAGATGTTTTAAGATGGCACTTTGGTCTTGACCTTTGACTAGCCATTAGCTCGTCAATCCAGTCAAAATTAAAGTAGTTCTACAAGCTGCGGTCATTCAAACAGCTATCTGCAACAGGTAAGATATTAATCGCTCATACACGTCCTACAGTGCTGCAATTCAGAAGAGCTGAACTATCCCTTTAAAGTACATTTCTTTGTTACGGAAGCCTCCAGTGCATGAAACGCAACAATAAAGACTCGTGGAGCAGAAAGGCGTTCACGGCGTCACATCTCAAAAGGCCAAGAACTCACGATGCATTCATGATTAAACCGCAGACGCACCACAAACAAGCCTTTGTTTAAGGATGTCACATGAAATCGGAAATGCCCTATTACCACTGAACGCCTCCCTCCCACCCCCTTTTGTTTTGCAGACGGTGTTCCTCCCCCCCGCCCCCCCCGTGCGAGATGAAAACACAGCTTGTCACGTGCAGCCAGCTCCCTGCCAGCTTGCTCTGAGGAACCAGTCTATTCTGCACTCCCTTTCTCCGGCTCCTTCCCCCGCCCTTCCTCCCTCCCCTCGTTTTAACTCTGGGCACGCATCTCTCCACCAGCCACCTGACCAGGAGCTCACATGTACTCTCGACACAGTTCCCGCCTGGCTCACAAGGCTCTTTGCGCAGTCTCGTGCAGACAACAGCAGCAGGGCCAGATCACGTTTGGAACAGAGAAAGCTGCATAATGCTGCAAATACACAAACAAAGGGGAGCACAAGCTACCGGGGCTGAATCATTCCTCACAGTTTGGGGGGGGCTTCACATTAAATCATTGGGTGTATTTTTCTTCACTTACATGCACGAGTGGGTAAAGCCTCACCAAATGTACAAAATAAACCGGGTATTATAGGAAGCGCACTCCCTCATGTGCAGAGAATGATGCGTTTTATGGCTCGGGGGCCTAATTTGTAAATCCATCTCCATGCCAGGTGTCGGATTGGCCTAAAAGTTGCAATTTATATGTGTGCGTAGTACGTTCTTTCAGAGTCTGAGTCACGGAGCTGACACTTGACAACCTGTTGTGCAGGTTGGAAGCAGAAAGTGACAGATTTCTGCTCAGCAGGTTCCTGCAGTCAAGCCTGATGGAGAATTTGGGTCAGTTTGATGTGAAACAACAACATCTTCGTCTACAGACTGTGGAATAAAACCGGAGGGAGGTGTGTGTGTGGAGGGGGGGTTATCTCGCCGCTTGTGCTTTCTCTCCTTGAGGAAACACGTGCAGCATTTTCAGCCCTGAGCGCCTCTTTAAGGCACACGTGTGGGCTCCGTGAGGGCTTGGCGTGCTTTGTGCGGCTGCAGCTCCGGTGTTTGGGCTCGCAGCGTGCGCACCGAGGCGTATCACATCTGCTCTTACACCCCGTCTGGAGTTAAACCATCCCAACGCTCTGTTGCTGCTTTCGCACAGGTGGCAACATGTGACCTGTGGAGGAGCACGGGAGTGGGAGTAAACAATATGGGCCCTCCTTCTTCTAGTGGACTTTTAAAAGTCAACACCCTCCATGTGTTCCCACCTCCAGGTTTTAAAAACATCTGTCCTCACGTCAGGCCAACGCCCACTTCTTAGCCTCACTCAGCCCGTCCGCTCTCATGGAGCGATCAGTCTCCCTCCACGTGCAACAGCTGGCCTCAGGTCATGCTATTGACAAGGAGCTATCAGGAAAGATAATTCTTCATCACAAGAATGACAGAAGATACTTTATTACCAGATAAAGACACGCGTCGATGCATTCCAAACGTTTGTTTGGAAATTCAAAGGTCAGAAGATTCAACTTCTGCCGGTTGTATCCAGATCCGTGTCGTTATGGCATGCCGCCCTCGTCCCTGTGCGTGTTTGTTTGGTTGTTCGTCGTTGCGAAATACCTCACGAATCGATGAAACTCTCAGGAAGAAATCATCGGATGAACATCTACGAGTGATTAGCGTTTGGAGTCAATCCCATTCAAGGAGACTACACGAAAACCGGCTGTAGCTCAGGCGGTTGTGCAGATGTTGAGCTCAAACCCCAATAAATACATAAATAAATAAAAAGCTGCACGCTCCTCGTCGTGGTCGCTGACTCTTATCCGGAGTTACGGCGTTTAATTTTCAAGCAGCAGCTCGGGCTGTGTTCACAACCCACACATGATTCAGGAAGATCACTCATTAACAGCTTCATCTTCCGTTTGATGGCCGAAGTACCGAGATCCAAGGAGGGGAGGAAACACGTGACTGAAAACGTACTTCTGCACAACAAAGATGGTCGACGTCTCCAGGCCAAACAACAGAGAGAACGTTAAAAACAACCTAAGAACTGACCTGAATCGTTGCTCTGCAATGTTTTGTTTTTTAAAGATGTCACATAATAACTGTGACCTCACCACTCACTTTTCCACTGCGACTGAATGTTTTTGTCTGTGCTTTTGCTTTTATGTTAGCAAAATATCTCTTGAATTACAGCACATATTTCAATAAAGAAATCACCCAATTAGGCCTGTCAAGATAATAAAATTTGCTGGGCGATTAATTATCTCAGAAATTATTGCGATAAACAATAATATTGTTTGAAATTTGACAGTAATTAGGTATTATTGTTAAATTTAAGAAGAAACGTTGGTTAATTTTTGTGTGTAGTACCTTTCTTTGACCACCGGATGGCAGTATAAAATTGTTTGAACCGAAGGATGGATAGTGAGGGAGCAAGCAGCATGTCTCTTTAAGAAAAATGAGAGGGAGGCCTCTTGACGTGACATGGGCTGTCTCTCCTTCCTTTCTTTGGTTCTCAAAATGACGGACTCTCGGTGTGGTTTGAGCTCTTTAGCATAGCATTTTTCACACAAAGCTTTTAATAAAACAATCAGTAAACAAGTTGTCAGCTTCTTTTTGCAGAGAAAAACAACTTTTTAGACGAAGTCACAGGTTTTAACCGTGAATTTTAGAGCTTCGACAAGACTGAGGTTTTTTCCCCCCAGGTCGGCCTGTTAGCTTAGCTCGTAGCTTAGCTTCTCAGCTTAGCCGCTTTTAACGATCCAAACCACGATTTTGGACGATAAAAAACAGATTTTAAAAAGAGAAGAGAAAGGGAGGGGTCAGTGAAGAGCACTGGAGTTGAGCCTTTTGTCATCCAGTGTCTTCAGTAGAAAGAGAGACACAAAGAAACGAAAAAGCCGATAAATGAAAATGAGGTTGATGATTTTCATTTATCATGCGATTAATTGATTTATTGCTTATTGCAACAGGCCTAACCCCAATTTAAGAAGGCTGCCGCAGCTTTTCGACTTTAGCGAACAAAATAAACGACTAAACTCAGTCAGTTCGACGGATAATGAGCTAAAAATGTGGTGTGGTAGTAGCTGAGCATCATCTTCAACACATGCTCTAAGTCAGGGCTATTCAAGTAATTACTCAGAGGGACACAGTTACTGAAAGCCAAGAGTTCAGGGGCTGGACATCCAGCAATTATTGTCATTAAGTAAGTTTTTTACAGTTTAAAATCAAGTTTTATTTAAAAAATGAACCCAATGGTGGACCGAACTGAGCTCGCCCGTGGGCCTGATTTGGCCCCTGGGCCACCAGTTGAATAGCCCTGCTCTAAGTGCTGACACATCGAGCAAAATCCTGGTTTAAAACTTTGACGTTAACTGTCAACCTCGTCTGTTAGTAAAATATCTAACTTAAATTTCATAAGGGTTTTTTTAAACATTTGATAAAGTCAATAGAAACATCAAAGCAAATATGTTCGTTTTTAGTATTTTACCTTGTTTTACGGCACTTTGATTTATTGTTTTATGCACTACTTTTATTTTAATTGCATTTTTACTGTAGTTTATTGATGTCTGTCTAAAACAGGTCTCTCTTGTAAATGAGTCCCCGTGACTCAATGAGAGTAACCTGTATAAATAAAGGTTGAATGAACAAATATCTACTGAACCACTGGATGTATTATGTTAAAAGTTGGTCAACTTTCTGTGTCAACTTGGCTGATTTAAGATTTACTATCAGGTCTCTCTTGTAAATGAGTCCCCGAGGCTCATGGGATTAACCTGTATACATAAAGGTTGAAAAAATAAAAAAACAAAGATGGCTGCCACAGCTAATCGACTATAGCAAGCACAAAAATGGCTGGAACTGTGTCGATGACACAGATAATCGAGTTAAACGTTGATGTAGAAGCAACTGAAAGTCATTCCCGGCACAAACTCTGAGGCAAACAAGATCGTGTGTGGTTTTTTTTTCAAACTTTGACCCAAACAGCTATTAATTCAACGTTCCTCTTCATAAAATGATCTTAATTTAAAAGTTTTGGCATGAACGAACATGGAAATATTCCTCTTATTCAGTTCTCTGTTGTTGCTTTCTGCCTTGCACAACACGTTCGCAAAACAAAAGCCAACTTCAGTTTTGCAGCAAATCACGTCTCAGCGAGAGACTTCTTTTTTGCTCTGCCGTTCTGCAGCGTGTCACTCTGAGTGCTGTGACACTTGAATCCCTGAAACAGAAGACCTGGTGCGTCACCGGCTCAGTTAGTCACAGCCACGCCGCCGAATCTGGGTTAAAATGTCCTTTTGTGCCCTCCTCGCCAGATGAGACGTGCTTGTATGAAACTTGTTATCTGGTACGAACTCTTGCTGCAGGGAGGTAAAAGGAGCAGGAGAGGAGGCTCAACCCCCCCACCACTTTTTTGACCCACTGACCAATCTATCTGCCAACAGGGAGGAATTCCCTGAGCAGTGTGCACACACACACCACGCACAGCAGGGAGGGGAAGGGGAGGGCTGCTTGCTCGGGAACATGCACGGCACGTGGAGACCGAGGCAGGATCCACGTGCAGTCGGCTCGAGGCGGGGTGGCATTCAGGAAAATAAATAAATAATAAGCAGGCGATGATTTGCATTATCACTCACAGACTCTGCTCAAGGACTCGATCTGAGCTGATATCAGTTACTGGGTCACTGTGACGCGGCTGCCTTTTGACGCCCAAATATGGTCGACGATTCAAACTTTAGATCGGCGTATCGATACGTCGTGACCGCAGTGAATCGTGATCCGCTCGCCCTGCCTTTAGCCGCGTGACTCGGGCTCTGGCGGAGTTCGGTGTTTACTCCCTGCTCTGCTGTTCGGTTCATGCTCGGGTGGAAAAACTTTTTTTTTTTTTTTTTTCCGCACCACTTATTGTTTTGACCCAGTGGCCCTGACCGTTCTCACGCTTCCTTCTGTTCACGTGGTGGAAAAACAAACTGATCCGAACAAAAACAAGCAGGCGACAGGGATGAAGTGCAACACCTCCTCACCCTGAGCTGTTCGGAGTGCATACACCAAAATAAAAGCCCTCACAGTGTTTCGTCGGTTTACCATTAAAGTGGAGCCAAATAGTGGGATAATGAAGGTAAACGGGGATGGAGGCGTTATCGTGCTGCATGCTTCACATTGAGTTTTGTTTATGTGGAAAGAAACGGAAATCCACGGCATTAAAAAAAAAAAGAGGAGAGAAAATTGTCAGGACTTCCCTCGATAAGCTCTCTGCAGTCTGCAGCTGGCATCGCGCCGAGTTCAAGGGAACAAAATGATCCCCTTCCTTTAAACACATCCCGCTTTCACTCAGCGCTCACAGGCAGCTGAGTACTTTACAGGAAATATCAGGAGACGATACATCGTGTATCGATACCACAATATATCAAAGGATTCCGATAAATCTGATATAAACCACGTATTTGACAACCCAAACACCCAAATGTACAAGATGTGAGCATCATGAGGACTGAAAGTGATATGACCAATCAGTCTTTTATAATAGACACTTTATGTACATGCTTCATTGGAAATAGCAGCTGAGAGAGTTTTTCTACCAAACAATTAAAGCAGCATTCAGAGGAGTGGACTCACCACCAGGACTGTTCTCCATGTTCCTCGTGTTCTTCCTGCTGGAGGCTTTTCTCAGAGCTGCTGTTTGTCTCTCAGGACTCCGCTGGAAACAAGTGAACTCCTCACGAACTGCAAACACATGAAGAGGAGCGCATCCCAAAGAAGGAGCTCACGCGCTGAGAGTGAGGGAGGAAAATGGTGATCGATGAAAATAAATAAATAAATCAGGAAATAAAGATGATGAGTTCTCCTGATCGATTCAGATGCAGAGCTCCGTCTGTAAGGCTACACCTCTCTGATGCCACAGGCTGGGATATCAGTGTGTTTCCAGTAAACCATCATCATCAGAGTGGAAGTAGTTTAAACACTCCCCCTCTCCTCCTCTTCCTCACACACATCAATGAGCAGCACGCGTCCTAAAATAAGCAGCACGTTTTCAGGTGCCTGAGAAATGTGACCATTTTTTTTATAAACGCCTCTGATCTGTGTCTGTGTGTCCCTGATTGTTGATGTGTATCAGAAACACTCCTCCTCCTCCCTCCCCCGGTCACGCTGTGTGAAAACATCTCCCCCACGCTCCTCCCCCTCACGCCCCCACTCGCGTTGTCATTGGCTGAGAGCCCCGCGTGGAGAGGGCGCATTGGGCACGATCGACGCAGGAATGCTCGATAGCATGTGCGCATGGCATGTGAGCTCGCGCTGCCCTACTGACACACATTTTATGCTAATGAGCTGCCTGGGCTCGGCGGAAAGCGGGAGGAAAAGATAGTCGGTGCAGCAAGAGGTATCACTCTGTCGCTGTTTTTCCCTCACCGAGCAGTGGCGGAGCCAGACGTTTTTCATAGGGGTGGCCAAAGTGGGACTATTTAACACACAGGGGGTGGCCCAGAAAATGGCTTTTTGTTGCTGTGGATCTAGTGGTGTTTCTTGGTTCATTCATTCAACCTTTATTTATACAGCTTAGTCTCATTGAGACACGAGGACTCATTTACAAGAGAGAGCTGTTTTAAACAAAGAACACAGATGAGGCACAGACAACAATAGGCAATCGTATAAAAACATATAAAATGAAAAGTAAATAAAATAAATGATGTAAAAACAAAACAAAAAAAAACAGTTACACTATGAAGTGATGTAAAATACTAAAACCAGGAACATGTCTGTGTTGGTTTTTGCCATGAACTTAGCAGTTGTTTAAAATCCATTAGAGAGGTCAAAGTCCACAACTTCAGATCTTTTTGCAAGTAATTCCAGGTTACAGGAGCAAACTCACTGAAGGCCCTTTCGCCAAGTTCGGTCCACACTGAGGGAACACTGCAGGTAATTGTGTCTTGAGAGCGCACGCTGTAACTGCACTGACGAAGTGACATGTAGGAGGAGATGTATGACATCAGCAAACCAAGAAGTGATGTAAAGATGAAAATGTACCAGTGTGAGAGTCTGTGTGAAGTTATTGGTGACCAGTTAACCAGTGAATACAGAGTGTCATGATGAGTACGGTAGTTACAGCCAGTTATGAATCTTAGTGCACTGGGATAGACAGCGTCCAACATCTGCAGGGTGCTTGTAGGGGTGTTCGTGTAAATAACGTCACCGTAGTCAATGCAGGGAAGGAAAGTCGCAGTTACAAGGCGTTTCCTAGCATTCAGAGTTAAACAGGATCTATTTCTGAAAAAGAAACCCAGTTTAACTTTCAATTTCTTTACCAAGTTTTCAACGTGAGGCTTAAAAGAGAGACGCAAATCAACCAAAATACCCAAGTATTTATAAGAATCTAAAAACTCATTAGGAACACCATTCGTAGATAAGATTGGAGAAGGGACTGCTGGTACCGACATTCTGTTTGAAAACAACATCCCTTTGGTTTTATTATCATTTAGCACCATTATGTCCCTACTTACCTAATTCAGTTCAGTTTATCTATATAGCACCAAGTCACAACAGACGTTATAGCAGGGCACTGAATAGAAACATTCACATACATTATAAATGCAAATTAGTAAAGTTATCTATCTAAGGAAGGAAAAAAGTCACGTCCATGTAGAATGGACCTTTGTACAGATTGTAATGCACATGTTCAAAGTCAGCACACAAGAGCCGTTGTGCGGCTAATAAGTGCGACTCCACCCGGCTCTCGGCTTATCAGTTCTTCTCAGGTGTTGGTGATTTGCCACTGTGACTTGTTTCCCCGGATCATCAGTGAAGTACTGTTGAGTTAAAGGGCGTACAAAGAAGGAAGATAAATTAGTGAAGCAAAGTTTTCATTATATCATAAAAATAAGAAAGCATGGAGACGAACAGGCCGCAGCTCAGCATCGCTGACGAGTATGACTCATCAATATCAAGAGGAAAGACAAACCGTCTGAAACGTCAATAATTTACTCCTAACTCTTTGTTAGCGGGACTAAAGAAAATAGAAGTGTAATAAAATCCACATTCTTGTCAATTCCCTACTGATTTGGTTGTAAACATCACATTATGAAGCTGGGATCATGCATGTTCATGAAGATCTAAAAGAGAACAGCGTGTTTATAACTTCATGTGAAATGTGCCGACACAAGAACTAAAGGTCGTTACATTTAAAGGCACATATTTCAGGTACATTTGTGTACAAAGTACAAACATTTTACTTATCTTGCCTGTGATAAAAACTTTGTTTTCAGAATCATTGCATCCTTCACTATTGATTCAAACACTGTAACTCTGTAAACATGGTGTATGTGCTGTTCTTGTGAATGAGATCATTCACGACGTTGAAAGTAGGTGACCGCCAAGAGCGAGTCCAACTCTCAACAAATTTTGTCTTTGTCCTCCTCATATGGCTCAATCCCAATAACAGCTTTCTTATTTCCTTCATATCTTTTCAGCAGCATCTAATGCAGGGGTGGGCAACATTTTTCTCCAGACGGCCAAATCAAGATGTTTAAAGAATTGGAAAATGAATCTTGGTTAAGACGTACAATCTTGAAGACGTTGGTAGTTAACTTGTTTGACATAAATATGTCTCCCCAGTATTCTTTAGGAATATAAGGCATACTTTCTTTACATTAGCTCTTGTGACAATATATTTATTAGCTGAAATATGCAACAAAAAACTTCTCAATTTGCATTTTGGAGTCTTTAAAGGTCAGTCTATTTCTGGAAACACATCAGCTTAATTTTTTTTAATTTTTATCTTGATCCAAAGGTTTTCAATGGGTTTGTTCAAGATGTTTAATTTGGACTTTCTTAAGTTTCATTATTAAAATGCAGGTGTTCATCCTAAAGTTGTTTTTTTTTTCCAATTAAGGATATTATGGGCAAGATGGAGGGTGTCCCAGAGCCACGTTTGGCCTTCGAGCTATATGTTGCCTACATCTGATATAATGTATTTTTATAAAATCCTTGACATTTGAAAAATTCACAGTTGACGAAAAAAATAAAAAATAAAGGCCAGAAAAAATAAAAAAAACTCCTGTAAACGCTGTGCAGAGGTACGGCTTGTTATCCACCCAAAGTGGATATATTCATGTCTACTTTAACATCTAATCAACTTTGATTTGCTGTTTGTGTTTATTAGTTATTTTCACCAACAATCACCTCCTTGTCCGATGAAAAATTGTTTAAAATCCTTCTCCAGTTTAATGTTTCATATTTGTGTTCACATTTATCGTTTGCGTTATAATTTAGTAACTCTCAGGTCGACAATTTAAAGCCACTAAAAACAGCTACACACAAACACATAAAAATTATCCTTCATTGTTTTACTGCGTGTTTTTGTCCAAATCTTTAAGTGAAACATTTGTGATAAAAACAAACAGATAACATTATAAAAAGAGCAAGTCTTGATGCATGCTCAGTAATCCAGGTAGACAAATCTAACAAGGTTGAGTCAGGTCCTTTGATGGATTCTTCTTTGTTGAAACGTTTCATCTTTTATCCAAAAGACTTCTTCAGTCTGAGGAGCTACAATAAACTCAGTCTTATAAATAGCACCTTCTCATAATGGATCAACCAGTTTGACTGCCAGAACTAGTTGTTCACATGAAAAAGGAGGACCACCAGCCTAGCGACCAATCATTAGTGCCTTGATGGTCACTTTTGCAAACTGATGTGTACTGTAAATCCACCCACACAGACCAGAACTCGTGATTTGATTCCCATCACCCTCTGGAGCACAAGTCATCAGGACTCTGTCTGACAATGTCCCCAAAGCCCCCACAGGAGCCAGGCAGAAGGAGAAATCCCATACAAGACTGCCCCTGGAGCAATGTGGATATCTTAACTCAACCTTCTTGAAAGCAGAGAAGAAACCCAAACAGGACTCTATAGCCATCAGGTAAGGAGGAATCCAGACCCAGACCAATGGTCATTCTGTATGTTTCGGGAGTTTCAGAGAAACCACAACATTTATTTTCTAAACATGATATCCCAGTGTCTTTGAAACTCAAAAATACATGACGGCAGAGACTGGTCCATCTGAACCATAATTATGGACTTGTTTTGATCAGTTGGTCCCTCAACACAATTTATAATCATTTCTTTGAAGAGAAGACAGGCTTTAGGCAAGCTGATTTACCCTGTTGGCACGCACGCAGCTGGATATCTCATCGACTTGGAAGAGTTGATGACGTGTCTATCTCTGCTGCCATTTGTGGATTTTAAGGACGCATATTTAATTGGATTTACGATAACTGGTTCCTTCTTTTTGGATTTGACTGTTGTTGGTTTTATCAACAATCAAGGAAGTCGTCGGCAGGAAATTTGGACTCGATCACGCTGCTTGCCTTTATCATGGCTTGGATCGTGCCTCAAGTACCCAGACTCAAATGCTTTGGGCAGAATAGATCAAATCTCTGGGATTTTACTCAGGCACGTTCCATCGGTGTGGCCATTTAATTTGGACATTTCGGAACTGAGTAGACCAACACAGACTCAAGGTAGATATCATTAAGTTCTGCCTGTCCCCAAAACAACTGTGTGTTTATCTGAATTTGGCTCCCTTGGCTGGCCTTGAAGGCCATCTTATCTGAATTCACCTGGAGAACATGTGATCTGACGCTCACCACCACCTCCCTGAGGAATTTCCAACTGATAACCAGATGAAACCAGATGAATAAACATTGTGTCATCATTCAGGACTTTTGGATTCTCATAGGCATTATCCTTGGCCATTCCACGACATACCTCAAAAATGTTTACGGCTCTCACTGGAGGGAACTGGTTGATTATCCTATCCTTATCAGAACTCTTACAGTGCCCTCGAGAGCGTCCAAGGACATTGCTCACCGCTCTCGTCGTCTCCCCCCTCTGCAGAATGTCTACGTCACTATGTGCTTGTTTGTGCGAGGTGTTTTTTAATATCAGAGTTTTTCTTCTCAGGCAAGAAGAAAAAGTCTGATAGGAATTTTTTCATCTCCAATTCCTACATGTGTCCAGTTGCACTACTTTTTGTCTGTCTAAACAGATCTCACTTGTAAATGAGTCTTCTAGGCTCAATGTGACTTATCTGTCTAAATAAAGGTTGAATGAATTAATGAATCC